CCCCCCCCCCAAAAAAAAATCAAAGAGTTACCATTCTGCTATCCGGGCCAGTTAGCGTCACGACAACTGTTCCTGGTGGTCCAGGGGGCCCTGTTAGCCCTTTCAGACCCTAAAGACAAATACACTCAAGAAGTAAAAACTAAACATCACCTCTACTATATTTGAGTCATTTACTTTTCCCCTTTAGTTCTTTTGTAAGAAGATAGAGCACATGAAAGTTTGAGTGAGACACAGCAAACATACCCATTTCAGTGTGAAAACAGCGTATAGGCCAATTGCTGTAGAACTTAAAATAACTTGCCTACACATAAACCATAGTATTTAAATTACCCGTTCTCCTTTCTGTCCGACCATGTTATCACCCATGTGACCCTGAAACAAAGGACAAAAACAAAGTATTTTTTAAAAAAGAATATGAATAAATAGCCTAAACCCATTAACGTTCCAATATTTGTAACTCAACATTTGTATTTTAATTTTCCCCCCAGGGTCACAATTGCCATTTTCTTTCTTCTTAGAATAACATATTCTTTTTTTAAAAAATTAAAGTGTAGTTGTCATAAAATATAATATTAGTTTCAAGTGTACAACATAGTGATTCAATATTTAGATACCTTATAAAGTGATCACCACAAGCAGTCTAGTAACCATCTGTCACTGTACAAAGTTACTATAATATTATTGATTGCATTCCTTGCTGTACATTGTGTCCCCATGATTTATTATTTTATAACTGGAAGTTTGTACCTCATTTCTCTTCACCTTTTTCATTCTCCTCCCCACCCATGCCCCTCTGGCAAACATCAGTTTATTCTCTGGATCTATGAGTTTGTTTCTGTTTTGTTTGTTCAGTTGTATTTTTTTGTTGTTTGTTTATTGTTTTTTTTAGATTCCACATGTAAGTAAAATCATACAGTATTTGTCTTTCTCTGTCAGACTTATTTCACTTAGCATAATGTTCTCTAGGTCCATCCATGTTGTTGCAAATGGCAAGATTTCATCCTTTGTTACTGCTGAATAATATTCCAGTGTATACACATATATATCTATATCACATCTTTATCCATTCATCTATTGAGGAACACCAAGGTTGTAACCATATCTTGGCTATTGTAGATAATGTTGCCATGAACATAGGGGTGCATATTTCTTTTCAAATTAGTGTTTTTATTTTCAGGTGAATGCCCATAAGTGGGTCCTATCATAGTTCTATTTTTAATTTTTTGAGGAACCTCCACACTGTTTTCCAAAGTAGCTGCACCAATTTATAATCCCACCAATAGTGCGCAAGGGTCCCCTTTTCTCTTAACATGGTAAATGATGACATGAGGTGGTATGCTGTGGGTCAAGGAACCCAGCTCAGAGGACATTTTTCTGGCTTATCTGCTGGCTAGTTTTGAGTCCACTGGCTGGTTACTTAACTTCTTGTTTTCTTGTTTTAAGAATATGAAGGATGGGTAGCAAAACTTCAGGATTCTGAAATTAAAAACTTAATAGAGAAGCTAAGAATAGCATTAAACTACCTGATGTCACTAGTAATCTAGTGACAAAAGATAAGTCTAATATGAATAGTCTGCCTTCACTAATGATGACCAATCTATCATGTCAACCAGTGTGTCCTTACTTTTTTGCTTTTCAGTATGCAGACCCCCCCACCTCATTAGCCCACAAGCTATACAAAAAAGTTCAAGATAAGGAATCAAAAGACTTTAAACCTCAGCTCTGCCATTTACTGTCTCTTTGACAATTCAGTAAACTTGACCCTATCCATCTCACAGGTGTGTGTGTGAATGAAATAATACATGCAAAAGCAGCTTTGGAAGGACCCTACACACAAGTAAGTAAGTAAGAGATACTGTGTTTAGTACTAATTTCCTGGTGAGGCTCAGCCTTGCTCAACATTTTCTTACTTAAACTATTATAATAATGAAGGGGATTAGAATATACCGCCTGAAATGTACCACTTTGGCATAAGGATTACGAGTATTTGATTATGAGCTGAAGGCAATTGAGGAACAGCAACTGCAGAAAAAATCTCTACCCTCCCCCATCTTCCTAAAGACAGGGTATAGATTTCCCTTTGTGAGGATGTCACCCCTCCCCTCTCTTATATAAGGAAGAGGAGACAATTCTTATTGCTGGAGGCAGCACTGACTTAAATCTGCATAAACAAACTTTACTGAAATAACCCTTATCTTCCATTAGTTTCCCCCATATATTTAAGTGCTCAAAAGCTCAAAACCTTTTCCTTTGTATTGTCACTTCTCTACAAATTTATTGCCCTTTGTTAAAATGGTACACAAGTCTCTGGGTCTGACCACCTCTTTGGGATTTTCATTTCATTTCTGTGAGGTCCTCCATATGCATACGAAATAGACATTCATCTCCTGTTAACCTGTCTTTTGCCAGTTTAATTTGCACGACCCCAGTCACTGAACCTAAGAGAGTAGAGGAAAATGTTTATTTTCCCCAGACACTAACAGTTGGCTTTTTAAATAGAAACACGTGCAGGACTGTACTTAATGAATGCATGAATAGTCATCTTTTATTTACTAACATAAGATCAGGTTGGTTTAGGAAGCAGCCCACCATAAAAATGAGTAGGATAAAGTGTTGGGTGATCGGTAGGATTATCAGAAACAGAAGTCTATGGACCAGCAACCCTGGCCCTTTTTCTGATAAGGAGCTCCTGATGACTGAGTTAAGCCTCTGTATCAGGGACGTGTAACTGAAGTGAAGGGAGAAGACAGGTTAAGGGCACAGAGCTGCAGACCAGGCTCCCTTCCAGCTGGGGATCCTGGCAAGCTCCCGAGAGGCACCCAGCGGTGACCCGCGCGTGCGGATCACACCGGGTTTGGCTTTCATTATAGCTGATACAGCGTGTGAACCGTAGTTTACCTTAAGTCCTGGAGGCCCCATTGCTCCTGGAAAGCCCTAAAAATTCCACAAATTAAAATTACAGCAGGAAATGCACCAACTGGAAAAATCTTTAAATTTTTTATCTATATATTTTTAAAATTATTATTAGTTTACGCAGCGGTTCTCAACCTGTGGGTCGCGACCCCTTTGGGGGTTGAATGACCCTTTCACAGGGGTCACCTAAGACCATCGGAAAACAAAAAGATACTTACATTACGATTCATAACAGTAGCAAAATTACAGTTATAGAGTAGCAACGAAAATAACTTGATGGTTGGGGGTCATCACAACATGAGGAACTATATTAAGGGGTCGTGGCATTAGGAAGGTTGAGAACCGCTGGTTTACAGTGTCTATAGCAATGGTGACTTCCTACTCACAAAGAATCCTGGAGGGCCGGCTGGGCCCGCAGGTCCGGGAAATCCTGGGAGGCCTGGCAAACCCTTTACATGAAGAGATGAATGAGAGTAAATTTAAATGTACTTCTCACCTAAGAACAATAGCCACTAGTTAAACGCACTAAAATATTTTAATAAAATCTGAGGAGCACGATGTCTTCTATTTATGGCTACAGTTAATTATAATAAATGTCCAAAAGAGTGTCGCCGTGTGTAACAGGCTGCCAGCATCATCCCGATGGTACTATTTCTAGGAAAATGGCCAGAGCAGTGGCTTACTTTAGAAGAGTTTTCAATTTTTGTTTTGTTTTTTTTTTGGCTGGAATTTTGTACTTCTCTCTCTGCTTCTGCCAACCATGCTCGTACCTTGGGGCTTTCTGGCTGCTCTCCCTCTGCCTAGAACCCACTTTCCCCAGATATCTGTACGACTCACACTACCTGTCCCTATTCTCATTTTTATTTATTTTTTATAAACACAACTTTTTTTTTTAAGATTTTATTGGGGAATTGGGGAAGGGAACAGTGTAGGGAAATTGGGGAAGGGAACAGTGTGTTTTTCCAGGACCCATCAGCTCCGAGTCAACTTGTTGTCCTTCAATCTTAGTTGTGGAGAGTGCAAGCTCAGCTC